CACGTCGCCGACGAACTTTTCTGGCCATTTTCTGTGTCATGAAGAATTTAGCAAAGAAGAATTCCATGTTTTTTTTTTCTGGTAAATGTTTTTGGCCATTGCCAGTGGCTAGGCACGTTCATTAACCCCCTTGGCAGCCTCTAACTAACTCAGTCTCCTTTCCCCCTTGCCAACCCCCTCCCCCTCTTACTTTCTGGCCATTGTCCTGCAGGTTCTTCCAGGGGCTCTTCCTTTTCCTATTTCCTATTTGGGTTCGGCTCCAGCGGCCTGTGAAATCCTTTTAATGGCATAAACGGGTTAAGCATTTTGGTGACGTAAATATGAACAGCAATAACAACGTCGGGTGTCCTGGGTGTCCTGCCAGTCCTGCCAGTCCTGCCATTCCTGCCTGTCGGACATTGTCTGGTTTATCCGTTATCCGTTTCTGTAAGCCTTCTGCCAGGAGTCGGTGAGCTTTAAAGCCTGAATTTCAGTTATGAGCAGAACGTGAGTTTCTCTCCAACACACACACACACTCACATACAGTGGCTGTCTGTGAGAGACCCCCCCCCCCCTCCCAAACACACACTCTGCATGTGTGCATTGGGCATTTTTCAAAATGGCAAACAAAGCGCGCGTGACAGGAAAAAACGGCCAGCAAATCGTTCACTCAGCCTCAGAAATACCAAAAATCCATTTCCCCGACTCACTCAAAAACACACACACACACAGTGTCGACGCTCCTTTTGTTTCAGAGTGTGTGTGAGTGTGCAGAGTGTGTGTGTGTGTGTGTGGTAGACAGTTTGCCGAGCATTTGCTTAATTTAATTTTGCCTGCCCCAACGGCTGCTGTTTTGGCCTCCCTCTATCCTCTTTCCACTTTCCAGTTTCCACTCAATCCCGTCAGGAGAAGTCCTCCTTTAAGCCCTCCCAAATGGCACGGAAACCCTCAGAGATTTCTCCCAGTGTGGCCTCGCCTCAGTGGCTGTCTTGACTTGCAGTTTGTTTTCTTAAAATTTGCAATTAATCAACTTAACGTGTCCAATCCGGCATCTCCATCTGAGCTCTTTAAGCACGCCAAAAGCCTTCGACCGGAAGGCACTACAAAGAGTATAAGTCCCTGCACTGAACAAATTAACTCACATTAAATGGACAATCAATTAATCAACAATGTACTCATTCAGCTTTCATTCATTTATATTTTGAATTTCAGGAGTACTTAACATGAAACTAACCAAATAGATTGTAGATAAATGCCAAGTAAACCTGACTTTATCTTAAGAAATTATGTGAAATCAGTCATAGAATCCTGATTAACAAATTAATAGAAGCAATTTATATTTTCAGTGTATCTTCAACAAATGAGTTGGAATGTGAAGTCGATTTTGCTATCAGAACCAAAATACAAAATTATAATTTGGTTATCTAAGCTTTATGATATAAAAAGCAAGTCAGAAGAAACCATTTTTCTTTGCAGTCCTCAAGGTAAATGAATTTAAATCAAGCTCGTCACTTGTAAAATTTGAAGCGTTCTAAAATGAGAAGCAAAACAAGTATGGTCTTCTAGATTTTCAGTGCAGCCATTTGAGTCCACTCACTTGGTGCACTTTCAAATGAACGAAGACGACTTCAAGCGTTTGGAGCCACCATGTGTACACTTGTATTGTGCTAGGCGGCAACTACAACGGATGAGCTCAACCGCTCATCTGCAATAATCGAAAGGACGAAAGGACGAGGGTGACAATGGTGTGCAAAAGCCCCTGCCACGCCCCCCTCTCCCAATGTGAAAGTTGAAGGCCAACGGCAGAGAAGGTGACAATTGTTCATTTGTTTGTCCTTTGTTTATCGCCAACCAGTTGACAGCTCTGCTGCTTTGTGGAAATGGAAGGAAAATTAGGAGGGGCAATGTGCGGAATGGGATAACTAGGGAAATATGTGCAGAGGATGGCCGCTTTCCTTTTGCCATTTCAATTGCTGACAGGTTGCTCAACGATTTGTATACCATTTCAAAGGGAACTTTTGTATCGAAGAAGTGGTATTTATGTCTGCCAATATGTAAGTCACAAATACTTATCCTTGAACTGGATAGAAATCAAAATATGGTTGGTAGTATACATACGAATGCTGATAGATGCTTCGGTGGCAGAAAAGAATTCTCTTCAAGATTGTAACTTCGAGAGAATCATAACAATTAAAATGTAAAAAGTCGTACACACGTTTTTCAAATAATATCAATCATCAAACAAAAACTAAAATAAAGGAATCTCTCGCTTTTGAAGATACAAATGTATGCTTGGTGAAACGTTAGTTCGGCTAGTGGCTTTTCCTTCTAGTTCCATTGAATTGTTCTATTGCTTTTTATTCGAGTTGTTCCTCCACTACGTCTGATTGCTCTGGAATTCAGAGGACCATGAGAGATACCAATTAAATTGAAATAAAACCCCTATCAACACTTCCGTGCATTTAGATTTCCAATTCCGTTGCTGGCTTTGGGCAGTGCTACAAATTCTGCCATTTGTGACTGGCGATTGAGTTCCGCTCCCCAGGATGCCAGGGCACTTTGGCACTGTGGTCAACACAATCAGGATGCAGTCATCGCCAGTTGGCACTCCATTGCTCACCTTCTCCTGTCCTGGATGGGAATGGTCCGTCCTGAATTTTCCCACCCTCCAGCAGCAGACATAACTCCAAATGCACTTGCTGACAGTCATTGAAAACACAAACTGTAGATTATGCCACTGCCAGGAGAGGAGTCTCTTTATTTCCCTCCTGGCTGTCCGGCATCCTGGTATCCTGGCATCCTTGCCCCTTTCTGCATCCCTGCATCCTCGCATCCTGGCACTTGTTATAAATCACAAAACAAGTAAAAAACCGAAATTATCTAACGAAATGCTACTGGAGCATCGGAAAAACTCGAAGACCGAAAATACCATATAGTCGCCTCGTAAAGTCGGGGGCGTGGCACGGGCAGGTGGGCTGAGCTGCTCTGCTCTGGCTTAAATGTGCAGCATTGCAGAAAATATTTCAACCAAAATGCTGAGGCTGAGGCTGATGCTGATGCGGAGACTGAGCTCCGCCACTCCCTTGCCTTTCACCTTTCTCTGGTCAGTTTGGCAGTTGGTAATGCGGTCAGGATGTGTTCAGATGTGTGTCCTTTTTCCCTCATTCTGTTTATAAACGTAACAATGACCGCATTCTTGTGTCCGTGTCTGTGTAAGTGTGTGTGTGTGTGTTGCTTTTTTTGCTGAGCTGCCCTCGAGGCAGGACCTCCCACTTTTCCACTTTTCCATTTCCCAGCCGCCGAAAGTGCAGCAACAAAGTTAAAGTTCTCCGCTTTTTCTATTGACAACCGTGCGGCTTTTGTGCCAAAGGGTGGGCGGGCTCGCATATCCTTGCACCCACCCAGTCACACCCACACACACCCACACCTACACAGACATACACAAATGAGCAGCAGCCAAAATGCCGCGAGCTTTTTACGCGGCAACAGTGACTGCGAAAAAAACATTCCACTGCGCCAAGCAAACAGCCGCTGGCAATTGGCAGAAGCGCTGAGCCGAGCTGAACCAAACTGAGCCCAGTTAAGAGAAGGTAGGTGGGTGGGCTGGTGGCTTGGCCACCTCGCCGCATTAAAACAAATAAAATCAAATAAACGTTTATTGCACTGCAATGTTTACGAGAGGCCACAAACAACAACAATGACAGCTCCAGCAATGGTGAAAATCTCGCAATTTAATCAGCCCACCAGCGAATGATGGACAAATGGCCGGAGCCCGGCTACTTTGTAGGTTAATAATACTGAGCACTGGCCAAGAGCAGAGTCCTTCGCCCGTTATATTTCTGCCTCTTCGGCCTGACCTCCTTTTTATTGTTTTTCCCTTTTCCCGGTCGTCTGCCACTTTGTTGGCTGCACTCTCCAGTTGCCATCCTCTTATCAGATATTCACAACTAATAGAAGCGGGTTAATCCATGCCAATTTTCGGTAGATAAAGACATAAGGAGAGTAATACAAAAAAATTAAATAAATGGAATTTCAAAAGCATCTCGAAACTCTTTTTCTGCCTCAATTAATATGATTTAGACTTTTCCAGCTAAAGGAAATTAAATAGATCGAGCACGGAAGCTGACTTAGGCAATCCAAACTTTTAATACCCTTGCAATACATATTTGACAGCTGCATTTTATAGTCATCAGGGGATGGTTTTATTCCATCGGCAAGATTTATAAATGCGATCACTGTAAAAGAAGTTGGGAAGTTTTGTATTGGTGGCGAAAAATTTTCGAATGTTGGAGTATTATACCTTGTTGAATTCGTTTTAAAATTTCCAATCTATTGGCATTTATTTTTGGCCACTTTTTTAAAAAATTTATGATAAACAGGAAAGGATTAGTTTTTGGTGAATTAAGCCACAATCATTAAAAAGTATGAAGCTCTGAAATCGGTTGTCTGTAAGAAAAGTTACAGACTTGGAAGTGCAGGTTTTTGGACACTATTCTGCAAAGCCATTTTTTGAAAATATGAAAAGGGGTTACTTCATAAAATGGACAAAAAATCGAACTCAAATTTCAAATCCAACGGACATATGCTATATTAACTCGCCTAATAATCATTTAATTTGTAAGGGCCTAGCTTTTTAACAAAGCTTGGTAACGGTATAGAAAAGGACGGTCATGACTATATTAATTTGCCTAAAATAAGAAGAGAAGAAAAAAAGGGCTTGAAAAAATGATAGTTTATGTATTTAAAATAAGCATAATGAATAGTGAAATGAAGCAGAATTAGTTTGATGGATCCTTTTTATGGTCTTATTAAAAATGGCTCAAGTTTTCCTGATAGCGTTGCCAATTTTATAGTGTGCGCTTTACTATTTCATAGCGTTTAGGCACACTATGTTTTAGAAATGGAATAAATGTTTATTAACACTTTATTTAAGAAATGGAATAGTAGGCTCTGACTTTAAGTGTCAAGTTGACTTGCTTGCGATTTTCCCTGGGACCTTCACTTTGCTGACTTCGTTCGAGCCGATAAGTACAAGCTTTTCCTAGCAGGAGAACATTTCTAAGGGTAACAAAAAACGAAAAAAAAGAAGAGGTGAACAGGATTTTGTTGTTGTTCTCTTTAATTTTCAACCCGGTGAGTCAGCAGATTTTGCAAATCGAAATGGACCAGAACAAGCTGAAGAAGATGGAGGATGCGGTGCGCATCGGGGGCAAGGGATCGGTGCGCCGCAAGCACAAGCACATCCAGACCTCAGCGGCCATGGAAGAGAAGCGCCTGCAGACCGCCCTCACCAAGCTGCCCCTCAACCAGATGCCCGGCATCCAGGAGATCAGCCTGGAGCTGGAGGACACCAGCGAGATCCAGGTCATGATGCCCAAGGTCCAGGGCTCCGTGATGAGCAGCCTGTTCGTGATTACCGGCGATCTGGTGCGCAATCCGCCGCTCAATCCGCCGACCCATCAGCCGCAGAGCTCCTATTCGGACACCATGGACTTGTCCAGGTCACCCGATCCCATCGTGGAGGAGCAGGCTCCCAAGAAGGCCAAAAAGCCGCGCAATCGCCTTCGCTACCGCAACAAGCGCGCCCAGGAAATGCTGGCCATGGCCCAACAGGCCGGCGACAATGCCTCCAAGGCTCGCCGCGAAGGACTCGCCAGCGTTGGCAACCAGGACCTCCAGGGAGGCGGCGACTCCCAGCCGATGGACAAGTGCTCCGTCTGCAACCAGGAGCACTTCATAGAAAGCCCCAACCAGGAGCACTCCAAAAAAGGCTCTAACAAGGAGCACTCCGAAGACAACTCCAATCTGGACCTCTCCGAAGATGGCTCCAACGTGAGCGTCGACTCGGACAAGACCCAAGTGCCATCGGATGTGGACATCGACTCGGACATGGACCAGACCCTCGTGGGCGACAACGATTCGCTGGACGGCAGGGACATTCCAACGGAGTCGGATGAACTGGAGTCCAATGGAGCCGAAAGTGACGGCCAAGACCAGGACGAAGTCGAGACCGAGGATGAGAAGCTCGACTTCTTGACATTCAGTGCCGACACATTGTTCATCTACGAGGACTAGTCCTTTCCTGTAAAATTGTCGAGAATCATAAAATAATGAGCTTCTCAGAAAATAAAAAGCATTAAAACGCTATTTAGTAACGTTTTCTTTCCAATTCCTTTTTAGTTACAACTTGTAATTCATGAAATATTGGCATTCCACGTTTGTAATGTCAAATATTTATTTCCTGCTAAATTTAATTCATTATTGCAAGTCATTTTCATTTTGCTTAAAGTATTTTTCTTGCGGTTTGAATATTTGTATTGAAATATACTAAAACGTTAACTTCCGATTAATCTGGTATTTAGCTCCGCTTTTTTAGGGTTGTCAAGTCGAACAAAAATTGGTCTCCAATATAGAACACTGGAAAAAGTTAATCCTTGTGAAATGCACAATAATCGATACTAATCGATTGAAATTGCCAGTTTCACCTGAATTTGTTTATTTTTTGAGCTGTCTTTTGACAGATGAATAATTTCAATTGATTGTACTTTATTTTTGATAAAGATTTTAAATTGGTCATATCATATTTAGTTGTTTCAGCTGTGCATTATACTGTATGGCTGACCAAATTTTAAACGTTTAATGCTCCATTTTAAGGCACATTTCTGGCATTAATAAGGGATAAATAACATGGTGTTGGAATATCCTTATTTATAGTTATGCCAGGAAACTAAAATATTATCTGCCTGCTGCCATCTTTACCTCTACGTTTGCTATCTTCGGTCTATTTAAGCTGATTTCTGAACGCATTAAACGCGAAATTCATACAAAATTCATTTAATAAGCGTTTAAGGGAATGTGCCACGCCCCCTCTCATCAGACTGCCGGAACTAAAGTTCAGGGGGGCGGAAGGGCGGCCAAAACTAATCTGCGCCTCGAAAAATGTACGAAATTAATCTGCACATAAATTAAGCATTAAAATTTAATATATTTGTTTATGGGACCTCAAAGTACGAAGGGGAGTTGGTGGGGGGGGGGAGGACCATACGAGGGGGCGTGCCGGATGTGCTGAATATCTGGAACATGGCATGTGTGTGTGTGTGTGTGTGTGCCGTAGGTGAGTGTGCCTGAGTGTGTGTGTGTGTTCTTAGTGGTAATAAATAAATAGCAAAAAGGTAATAAAACAGATAGCAAAAAAGGAAAACGCAAAAACACAGCAGAAAAAGTGTTTGGCGGAAGGATCGGAAGAGGGGGTTTGGGTGGAGGGGGTGTGGAATCTGCCAACTGGTCGCCCATTATCGTATTAGCACATGCCACCAGTGATTATTATGAGCTGTCCTCCTCCTCCTCCTACTCCTCCTACTCCTCCCCGCTCCCCGCTCCCTTATTCTTTGTCTATGCATGCGTGTATAATTAATTTTGCACCCTTGTATCCACATACCCATGATCAGCACCCCAGTTTTCGCTTTTGCCTCGGCTTCTGACCCCCCCTTCCCCCTTTGAGGGGCACAATGGATGGCCTTCGTCCTGGCCAAATTGGCAGAGTTTCCCAGAGGAAACCACCGGCAGACACCCACCGACACCCAACGAAATGCTCTTTCTCCGAGCTGCACTTTAATTTGCCATAAGTTGCCCCACAATGCATGCTTTTCAAAGCTAAATTCGCTGTGGCTAACACTGATTGATCTGGACGATGCCTTAAAACCCTTTGAAACACGCTCCCTAAAAGCATTTTTCACTCTTGAATGGGAGCTGTTAGTTTTCACTTATTTACAATAGTTTAGATGGCATTACCAAATTGGATATCTATTTTGCTGTGTTTATCTTTATTCTATCGTTTTATTAGTTTAACGATTTACATTTCAATACATGTGAAGATATACAGAAAACGCCTAAAATGGGCATAAATAAAAAAAAGGAATAATATTTACAATTTTTTAAGCTAAAGAGAGCATAAGACAAAAACCTAAACTAAGTTTTTCAAAACTCTTTTAGGAAATATTCATAAATAAAATGGAAGAGGTAGTTTATAGAGTTAATTATATGTGTATAAGTAGCTCTTCTAAACAGAATTATAGAAATGAAATCAAAAGTACTTTTTTGATGGTAACTAGAATTCTTTTTAAGCTAAACTAAAGCTTAATGTAAGGCTTACAAGAGTCCAAAAGTCCAGGATGATACCATCCCACCAATTGGCTCACTTCACCTGCCACAAAAAGTGTCAGCTTAAAAAACGTTCAAATGGTGCTTTTATTGGGACTCTCGCTCGTGCCAGGCAACTTTATGGACTGTGGGAATTCCGTGAAATAGTTGCTTTTTGTGAAAGTTGTCATTTCGATTTGATGACTATTGTCGAACATTATCAACAATAATTCATAAAAGAATGGTTTATGCCCAGTCCCCCGCCGGAAGATGGATGAAGATGAATGAGCCCTAAGAACATCTCATTAGGCTGAGTGAAAAATAGACCTTGCCAGGAGACGAACTCGAATCGAGTGGCGAGGTCCTTCGCGGAGGACTCAGCGCCATTTGCCCTGTGCCGTTTGTCGCCACTTTTGTTTGGACTCTAATAAAATACGCATTATTTGGCAACCGTCTGGCAGGGCGAATTTAATATCTGGCAACCGGGCCTGATGGCTCCTTGGGCCGTGTCCTGTCGTGTCCTGTCCTGTCGTATCGTGTCGTGGTCGTCGCCTGTCATCCGCAAACGATGCCTTTCATTTTAAGGCACATGTGTCATCCGGGCACATCCCGGCTCATCATGGCACATCCTGGGGAACCGAACCCGATTCGAGGACATTGTATTGCGGTCGCCGGCCCTGTCCCTCGGCTTAAGTGTTTATTAATATCGACTCGTGCGAACCCGGACATGTGTTGGCCCCAAATTGACTTTGCCGTAACTGATAAGGTCCCATTCGCAGGCGCCGCAGCCTGTAGTTATTGTAGCAAGCCATTTGTGATTGTTATCGGGCTGGCGAAGACAACAGCTGGTCACACTACACGCTCGTATACAAGGATTCAAAAGAAGTCCTTGCAGACAGCCATTCCTTTATGCTCCATTCAATTCGATTCGATTCGATTCGATTCTGGTGGGAGAACAATTGCGAACTGTATTTGTGTGGTCCTCGTGCAACGGCAATTATGAACTGCCCTTCTACGCGCTTCTCACAATTCCGAAGGAGGTCACGGGGTCACCAGCTGGCGCTAAGTTCACAATAAAAGGAAAAGTTCGCCTTCAGTGCTCTTCAATTATTGTAATCCACTTTAAGGGCTCTTATATCAATATTTTCAATTCGCTTTGGGAAAGAGTTCTTAGCATCTCTTCTGCATCGCTCGTTCCTCCTCTTTAGACTCCCATTTCTTGTCCTTGCCAAAATTCTTTGCCCAACTTTCTCCCCGGTTGGAAAACGAAGAAAACGAACAGTCTCCTGTGTTTTCGAGGCGAACTAACCTGCCCGAAAATGCTGCAGGATGCTTTCAGGCCTTGGCAACTCAGCCGGCACTCACTGAAATACAAACACACGTTCCGCTGGGTAATGTCTTTATATTTGAAATTGCTTTGCTATTAAAACAAAATAAACGACGCGACGCGCAACTTATAAATTTTGTTTGAAAATCAAGTGAAATAAATGCAGTGGCAGAAGTGGGGCGCTGAAGGGATGCTTGTTTCGGCAAATCTGGACCGGAGTGGAAAAACAGAAACGGATCCAAGAAGAGAAACGGGGCGAAAACAAAGGCGCAAGACAAACACAAGATAAAAAAGAAAACGTAAAACAGGGTGAGGAGTTGGGGCAATAAATTTAACTTTTAGCTGGGATGTGTGAGTGAGCACACAAACACGGACACACACACACACGCACACACGTCGGAATACACGAACACATGACCATAAATAGCAGTGCAAGAAAAACCCCACCCTTTCCCCCTTCGCAAAAAAGGTCCTTTTCAGAGCCAGTTCGGCGGTTGCGACTTTTAATTTTATTGCCAAGGTCCGACGGGGTGGAAGAAAACTCACACAAATGTTGGCCAATTGTCTGTGGGGGTCAGCTAATAATTGGGAGTTGGCTCTTCATATATCACTGGCTCCCAAGTTGGGGCCTTGTAAATAATTGCCTGCCCGCATAAGTATGCTATGGAAGATTTACTACGCTGCTCGGGGGGCTCCTCAATTGATTTGGGTGTCTTAATGAAAAGATGTCAACTCAGTCAGGCAGCATGCATGCCATCTCCATCTCCATCTCCATCTCCACCCCCATTTTTCATTTTTCATTTTAATTTTAACATTAATTTTCAATTCAATTTCGCTGCTCTTTGTCATCAATTGAAGGCAGCAGCTTGATCCTGCCACCTACCACCTGCCCCCTGACCCCCCTGACCCCCGATTCAGTCATTGATGAATGCCTCTCGCTGGGCAAAAAGTTTCTCATTTATTTCCTGTTCACGTTTGCACATGAAACGACGAATTTGATTCTTATTTATTGCGTATTTTTCTAAGGATTTGACTTCTAAGGTTGCCTTTTAATAACTGAAAACTCGCATAATTTCGCCCCGAAAGTTTTCCAAGCTGATTAGCCCTCTTGCGGTGGCAAAGTTGAGTCGTAAGGGGCCCTGTTCCTTTTTGGCTTTTGATTTGTGTGCGTTATGTAAATTCATTAAGCTGCTGCCTAAGCTGCTGCGGCTTAGTGGCCCACCTGTCCCCCAGCCGACAAAAGCCCAAACAAACAAATTGATAGCCAGACTTTTGCTCAGTCGACTTTTGCCTTGCACTCACAATGCCGTGGAAAGTTTTCATTATGCATGTGCGCCAAAAACTTGGCAAACAAAGACCGCTGGAGGGGGGGGATGGTGGTGGTGGGGGCTGGACGAATAAGAAGTGGTTTTGGGTGGGGTAAAACTTTCCCGGGCGAAGCTTTGGCATAATTAAAATGTTTATGCGTTTAATTGCAAATGAATTCGAGGCGAAAGTTGCCAGTTGCAGCTCACACACACACACACACACGCGCGCACTCAATGACAATTGGTGTATCAAATTCCTCCGAGTAGAAACTCGGCGATTCCCCCTTCGAATGGAAAAGGATAATTGCTTTGGGCTCGCTCAATCGGAAAATTGTCTTTAAAATTTAATCAACAAGGAGTCCTGACACAACCGCATTTGAGAAACAGAAACCAAGCCCACAGGGATGCTGCGTTAATTTATGTCTCGCTACTTATGACATCCACTACTGGCCAGGATCTGATACCTCCCCAACCCCCCACACCCCTCTCAACCACAATGTCCAGAGGTGCTGGTGAACAGGGGGGCGTAAGGGCCAAGTTAGTTGAGTGGCTGGCCGCAGAACTGCCGCCTGGATCCCGCCGTCTTTGCCTGGGCAAGACATTAAACAGCTTCATTACCTGCAAATTTCTAAATCAAATACGAGGAAAAACCACAGCCTGAGCTCACCAAAAATCGGTCACAAACTGCTGGCACGGATGAGAAGCATCCACGGAGCCTGAAAATGAAGCCCCACAATTGATTAGCCAGCAGCAGTGACAATTTGCGGCAAGGATGGGTTCTGGTGGCACATATGAACATGACCAATGCAGAAGCATAAACGATGTTTGTTCCCAGATATGCTGACAGGACGAAAATGTTGCGGTTAATGTCTGGCGGAGGTCCTCTGCCAGGATACTGGATATGTGAGTGGGTGGCTGGCAAGACGGCATGAACTTGGCGCAGCATTTGCTTAGTTGTCAGGGAAACATTGTGGTTGTCTGGTGGCCAAGCTTATAAAACTCCATCTCGGCAGCCAGCTCATTAAACGGGTTCCATCTGATTTCGCAACTCTCTATCCTCAATGGCAGCTTTTGATGACTGGATGATTTCCAAAGATTGTTGGGTGTCTAAAAATAGTTGTGTTTAAAATTGACTTTTAGTGAGGGTTACTTTGCTATGAATTTATAGTTTAAAATACCAGTTTTTAAGTATAATATGGTTAAACGTTTTCAATTGTTTTAATACAATGTTTTTCATTGTTCAAGCTTCTTTGATTTTTTAAGAATTTAGAAATCAATGATTATGACCTAGTCAGAAAATGTGACTAAGAATGTTCAATATTAAGCCCCATATATTATTACAGAATTGTTCAATTGAAATAAAAGTACATAGGCTTATTACGTCGGTTTGCCTTGTAATTATTGGTGGAGTACATAATTCCAACTACTTAGCTTTCTTCCAGGAGTAAGTCCCTGTTACATTTCAGCAGCAAAGCTCCTTTTAAGTCTGCTCACTTACTGTTTTACATTTGAATGGCTCGGCAGGTCTCCAATCAGTCTCGCTTGGAGGCATTCTTCTAGTTCATTTAATGCAATTTGCTGTCATCGTCACCCAATGAACTTTCCTCGTCGCCTCCCGCTGCTTTAAAACCCCCCTCCTGAGTCAGCGATAGGATCTGTATTGTCCTGCGCTCCCAGGTGTCTGTCTCTCGACAAGGACTCCCTGATAAGTCCCTGTTATCTGTCGGCTGCAACAAGCCAGACAACAAAGCCACCAGAAACAACAGCAGATACTGAAATGTAAATGTATACAGGTGGTATACGCAATATAAGACGCGTTTATGAGTGTTGTTTTGGGGGGACAAGAAACAAGAAACAAGAAACAAGAAACACCTGCCCGAAGAGGGAAAAAAGATAAAGCAAACGTCTTGAAATGAATTCATCCCCGGGGACTTTCGACAGCGTCAGAAATTTGTTTACGCTTTTTGTTTTGGGGCCATGAAAGAATGATAATTATATCCCTGGTCGGTTCATCTGATGACACACAAATAGCCGAAAGTTAATGAAAGGCGCCCGTCTGACTCTACCTCTGCTTCTATTTTGAATGCTGCGTAAATAAAGCGCTGCGAAATAAAATATGTAAATATCATTTGCAATGCCTTTAAAGTGTGCGTTCCTAATGAGTTTCCCAACTCCTAAAAATGATCCCCATTTTTTCTTCTTACTTTTCAAGTGGAAAAACTAATATGGCAAATATTTGACTACTCTTTTCTTTCCCACGTTCCATTTGCAGGCGGAGGAGCGAGGAAGACGCCAAAGTCAAAGTCAGCCAACCCGAAGGCAACTGCAGCCGGAATTAACACAAAAGGTAAATTTGGCCTCGAAACTTTCGTGGTGTGGCCACCTAAGCAGCCAGAGCACTCAAAGCCCCACAAAACTGTCGTGCACTTCAGCGATGCTCCAGCTAAGCCACTTATTTTAGTTGGCCAAGAAGTGGGCGAAGGTGTTTGGGCCAGATCGAAATCGCGCATACCCTGCGTTTGCTCAAGTCCTTGGGCTTAACGAAAATCATTCTCCTTTAGTTTGAATTTCTACAATTCTGCATTGTATTAAATTAAACAACAAATTATTAACAAATTTAAAAGTTTTCTTCTTAAGAGATAACCAATTATTAAAATGTTTCAAAAAAATGTTTAAGGCCGATTTAAGGCTCTAGATTAAAAAGGTCAATAATTAGCTTTTTTGATGTAATGTAAATTTTTCAAACTGCAAATCCTTACAGGTTCTGCGGTCACAAGAGTCGATGATAAAGTAAATGTTTCCAAAATAGCTTTTTAGCTAAATGTCAAAACCTTTTAAAAAAAAGTAAAAAAAGTAAAAAAAATGTATATTTATTGCAAAACTTAACAAGTATATTGCTACCTATGTGGCAGCTTAAGCAGGTTGTAAATATAGGGGATAACAAATTTTAGGTATAACAAATTATACGAGTTATATATTTCATTACTATTTTAATTATTTTAAGCTTTTAAAAATTATATGTGTCTTGATGGGAAAAAACTTAACATAACATTGAGAAATCGGTAATCAGTTTTTTTTTTAACTTTACAAGAGTGTGTTTTAAGGCTTTATAGCGACAAATGGTATTTTTTGGTAGCTTGGCAACTATATTCAGCTTTTTCAACAGTATTAAAAAAACAGCATATCGTAATTTGCCCACGTTTAAGAGGATGTTCCTCGCTGGCATAAACTTCCTCCCCAATTTCCCCCCGGCCCGCATCCTTCTGGCTGGGCCACTATCTAGTAAGTCTGTCAGAGGCTAGTCGAGATTCAGACGCTTAACGAGCTGCACTTCGCGATGGGAAAAACTATTTTCCCACTCGCCGTTTGCTCTTGTCTTCGTTTCTTTTTCCATTTCTTTTTCTACTTATACCTTCTGTATGCTAAGTGAAATTTAATGCTGTGGAAAATTGTAAGATTTCAGTACTAATATTTATTTTCATATTTTTGTGCTGAGCCAACCGCTGCGGATACAGAGTGGTAATGTCCGCGAGGCGGAGGCTCTCTTTGCTGCTCGCTCTGTGTGCAATAATTTAATTTGCAATTTTCCATTGCTGACCGAAATTTACACACAACCACACTCATCCACACACACACACACCCACACACACTCACGTGCGCGCACTTTTATTGCAACGAACTCTCGTCGGCAGATACCTACATATATGAAATTAGTTTTTCGGTTAGCTTCTATTGTTGTTCGAGGATTCGTTTCTGTGGGCAAACTAAATTGCGAAATGATATTACCACAATATTATTACCAGTTTTTCATTGTTGCCAAAAATGGTTGGGCACGTGGGGAAGGCATAAAGTACACGAATGGAAATGGTCAAATGATCGCGGCTCAGTCCCGAGTACGCTGCAAATTTAAACAAACAGTCGAACGTGGCTCCCTAGATTTTCCCAAAAAATTTGCTCAGTTCTGGTTGCTGGCCGGGCTGCCTGATGAAAAGTGGGCGGGTCCTTTGGGGGCGGGGAGGTGTGGCAGAGCGATGGCTAATGGCTAATGGCCCGTGGAAACGTGCCTGACTGCGCTGATTTGATGGGATTTCCCAGGCATTTGCAGATGAAATGAGCAAACAGTTTTATGAACAGAAGCCGCTGGTCGATGGTTATCCTTGCCCGTCGAAGAAGGACTCACATGGGAGCGGTTGTAAATCAGCTGTAAGGGTCTGCCTGCTGCACATTTTCAACAAGTCGCCCCCAAATCCAAATTGGCCACCGCGAAATTTCCATTAAGTTGCTACGAGGACCTCTTTTTGCATGCCACCTGTCCGCCGGGTTCATTAAAAAATATAAAAAGGACCCCGGCTATATTGCAAATTGCAAGGTGCATGATGCATTTTACAAATGCATTACGTATACGCCGTGTATTCGCGATGCAATCACGCCGAAAATTCGTTTCCATATATTACACAAACATACTAACACACGCGATGTTTGCCTGTGTGTGTGTCCAAAGGGGGCGGTGGTCGTGGTGGGCGTGGCTCTTCAGCGAGAAGGGGTAAAATGCTTTTGATTGTTTGGCCCTGCCAGTTATTTATATTTGTATTGACTGCATTTTTGGTTTATGTTGCAGAAGCTTGGCGGTGGGTGGTTGGGTGGTGGGTTTGCTTCTACCATAGCTGGTAGAGGGGTGGAGGGGAGGAGGGGGGTTGGCGGCCACTCTATTTTCTGTGGGCATTGCGGCAGCTCAATTTCGTTAGCCGTGTTCGCTATAAAAATTTCTCCTGCCCCTTTAACTCGCAGCTTTCACTTATTTTTCTTATTTCTAGTGTGTGTGCGAGTGTGTTCTTCTTCCTTTTTTATTTTGTGGGCAAAACATTTTGCAATGCCAATTTTTGTTGCCGTTTGTGTTGGCGTGCATGTGCATTTGTGTTGTGCTGCAATTCTCCTGCTCGTTTTGGCCAGTTTATAACATTTTGCATTGCTGTTGTTGCTAGGTTTTTGGCAAATTGGTTTACAGGCCGAAAAGGAGGCAGTTGAAACAACAACATAGCCACTATCCTAAGGCTAGAAAACTGCGTCGAACAATCTACTGATGTTGTTGTCGTTGTGATTGCTGGCAAAATATTTATTTTCCCTTTTTTGCATCTGTTAAAGCATATTGTGATTCACTTTTGCCCAACCACTCTATCCGCATTTTCCCCCTCGCCATCACCTCTTGTTCAACCCTTTTCCGCTTTTCCACTTTTCCTGGCTGCGAATCATTGTTAACCAGACGATTTTCGCACTTCCTACTTACAAAATGAAACACATGTCCTGTGCGGATATGAGACAACCATAGAATGCCAAGCATAATGCAAAAAAAAAAATTACAAAGTCAAAAGTTTTAAATTCCCTTGCGGATGATGCGTCCACATTTGTTTTTCACAATTGTTTGTATGACGGAGGGATTATCATTCCTTTGTCTGTAAGTATGTGGCTTATAAAATGTCACTAAAAAGTCTATCGTGTCTCATATGTTATTTTTTTACATAGCTGTAACAGTTTATATATCTCCAAAATAAACTTTACACATTGGAATATGACTTAGTTGTTCTTATTACCCTCTAATTCGTGAAGTTTTGGAATCAATTTCGTAGTCATCCACTCCAATTTTTCAACTTCTTAATTCAAGCACTAAGTACTTGCCTGTTCGTCATTCGCGAATGAAATTTACTGGAGTTGAATCAGCAGATCGGAGGGACTGACAAGGAAATCCGATGGGAATACCCATCGTTTTGGCCCCACACCGCCGAATCCAAGATAGTTTCTGGGGAAATGGGAAATTTGAATTGCACCAAGAAATTTCCAAGTTAAAATTCTTGAAATTCCAGAATTACTCGCTCTGCGAGCTGTGGGAAAACGTAAGCCGCAGAATAAATAAACAGACAGTCGAGAACAATGGCAAACGGGAAAATTGGGAACCGCAGCAAATTGGAAAAAGTCAAAAGCGAGAGATGTACATGTCTATAGATATATATGTAGAAATATGTATGTATTTGCATGTGGGGCTGTGGGTGTGTGGGAATGCTTCCAAATGACAAACATTTCAATTAAATTCCAATTTAAATAAATTCCTAGCAACCAAAACAAACTCCATCTTCCCACCGCCTCTGTCGCCGTCCCAGAAAATGGCAAAATAAAATAAAATGAGGAAAAAACGAATGAAACGTAACAAGCAGAAAATTACATCAGCGACTGTCCGAAAGTCGAACGAGAATGCCAAAAACAGCAGAAGGACATCCAAGAGACCCAGGAGACTGGGAAAGCGGGAAAGCGGGAAACTGAGAGACTGGGAAACTGAGCAACTGAGAAACGCACCAGCATCAGAAACTAATTAAGAGAATTGCAATTGACAATGAGACGGGGGAAGTAGAAGTCGCGACGGGTGCTATTCGCATAATGAGCTCCGAATCCGACTTGAGTCGCTGCAGCTGCACCCGCGAATCGCTGGAAAATCAGCGCTTAGGGAAATGGAAAATTGTTAATTTCCCTTTTTTGAAGGATCGACTACTGCATGTTTCATAACAGTATTTTGGGTATCCACAATTATTTTAGACACATGTTTCTTTCCCATAATACAATACACAAAATGAAAACCGAATATCTAAAAATACGTTACACATACGCTATTCCCAAAAAATAATAAAACAAAGTTATTTATTGAGCAAAATAAAATGTTCCAAGACGTTTACTGATAATAGATCTGAAATCAATCAATTATATGTCAAATACATTTCATACATTGGGTGCATCTTCTTTCAGTTTTTGGCACATTGAAGTCACTTTAGTAGCTAATTAAATTATTATTATTTCAGTAGTAAATTGTTTATTAACAAGCTTTTAATAAACGAAAGATAAGCCCGGCGTGATAGTTTATTTTGTTAAGAGATTATTCCATACACATTATTTGTGAAGCGTCAGGACATCAGTACAGTTTTTTTTTAAAGAGGTAGTAAGCTCAAAGATCCCCTTCAAGCTCTTATTCTCCACATAGCTGATATGCTCCACTAGATAGGCATGTAAATACTATAAAAGCAAAAGCCACTGGGAGAAAAAAAGGAAAGGAAGGAGTCGCAGGAGAAGTGGAAGGGATGTGGAAGTGGAAGGAGACACAAACAGTCAGAGATAGAGGCCTTCTATCGACCTCAATTCACGGGCTCTGGCTTCAAATGAAATTGTAATTTTATACAAATCGCAGTGGCAATCGTTGGAGCCAAGTGAAGCCGGGCGAAAGGGCAGAAGAGGAGGGGGTGGTCGGAAAACTTGCGGAAAAGTGGTTGCCTGGGGGAGGTGGAGGGGGCGGAGACAAAAGGGGGTGTG